TCAAAAAGAATTTGATAATGTGATCCAAATCGAATAATATTGAAATAAGAATTCAACGGTAGACTGCGTATAAATAAAAGCATAGCCTCGCGTGCAAGACCTATTTTATTTTCGTCTTCCATCGATCCAGAGCAATCCACTGCAATAATAGATCATATAGAAACAAATGATTTCATATTTGTAATTCTATTATATGTCAAATACTCTTTCAGAATTATTTGTAAATGCTTCATTACTATTTACGTTTATGTAATAATAACAATATCTTTAAGAATTACTATAAAGATGCATGGAATATCAGTGCTGTACAGAGATCATCACACTATATGGTCGATAAAGACATCGAGTTTTATTTATTTAAATTAAAGAAAGTAGAAATTTGTAGAGAATCGAATTCTACATGTTTTTTTTTTGAGAAGATTACAATCAAATATTTACGAACATCTGGTATATAGCTGACTTTCTTTTTATAGAAAAAAAATTTCGGTTACACTTTCGTATACAACAAAAAAAATGATGTAACTCTCTTCTACAGTCTACCGGCACATCGCCATTTTTTATATTGCCTTCTATTGAGGATCAATTTTTGACCAATTATATGAGCTCAAATAAAGAATGAGTCTCTCAATAATTCAGAAAAATTTCTTCGAGTTTTCATTGCTTGATAATCATAATTTTTAAGAATAATCTAATTTCAAGTTTCTACCAAATTATGCAAAAAGAACACCTTTAAAACTTAATTTTCTCCGCATGCAGAAAGACTGAGAACAGCATTTTGTATCTGTTCAAAAACTGTACGAATTCAGTGATAATTGACAAGCATTTTCACTTCTAAGGTTGTATAAATATGACCTTTGTTGTTACTGCGTATTCAAGTCAAAGATATGAATTTTTTCATCATCCTACAAGACTCAAATTGTGTGAAATTCATTTTATACCATGTAAGAGATATGAAATCAAACAATTTTCAATGAACATTACTCTTAGTACGTCATCCAGCGACTTGTCTGGAACTTCATTAGAAAAATAGAGATAATTAGTGTGCATAAAATTTGGCTTTGAAAAAGAGTTTTGTTAGGAAATTTATACGTTGATCGTATAGTTATGTTTTGAATGAGTTCTCTTTCATATTTTTTTTTGGTAGAAAATTGAATAGGATTTATTTTAAAACCAAAGTGAATCTGAAAGAGATATAGCCGAATTACTGTGAGGCCTATTCTTTATATCACACACGGTATCTATTTCAACACAAAAAAAATCATTATTTTTTGGAATATATTGATTAATTGGTTCATGGCTTTCTAATAGGATATTTCAACTTTCGCTCGGACATGACCTTACAAAAGAGTGAGAAAGAGGAGTTTACATCATCTATCTATATCGAAACTCTTACTAAATATGATGTTGAGTGACCTTAAATTTTAGAATATTTACTCTAGGAACACGTTCATTGTTTAAAAAAAAAGAAAATTCTACACAAACATACCGATAAAGATGAATTCAGATTTCATATAATTAGATTTGACTAAATTATGAGGAATTAGTGCTGTAAGTGCAGCATATTTCGTCGAATCGTATTGTTCAACAGCAGTCAACATGGATGGTGGACGTCTAGGCAAGTGAATATCAATGATAAAATCACGATCAAGTGCAACATCTTGTGTAGAAATATTGATTAATTCTGATGATGTACTAACATTGACTGGATGAGACAGATTAGCAACGCGAGAGATGCCGTCTAGAATAGATAGAAGTATATTGTTTGGTTATCCAAATATCAAATATTTCTTTCCCATGGTGTTGTATTCTGTAGCTTTGATTTATCTGTTCTTATAGTCAATAAAGATTTAATATACTCTTCATTGTTAACTTTACTATGTCGGATATAATAAATAAAAACATTTAACACAATTTTTAGTACACTTTGATGAATGTTACATATGTTGCGTAGATTTTTTTTTCTGTACAAATCGTTTGTTTAAAGGTAAAAGATTTCTTTACAGAAAAAATCTGCTAATAAGAATGATTTTAGACTATATTCATTACACGAGATCATTGTGAACGACACAAGGAAAGAAAATCATTGATAAATGCATATATTGTTTTGATATGAATCTAAAGGCGAAATAGGAGACTCCTGTAAGAATGCAAAATATAGTGATTTTTTCAAATCCATTCAAGTCAATGAAACAACTGATTTAGATGTTGCATGTGTCAAAATGTATTGTTTTTCTGAAAAGACATTGAGTATTGTGGACTTGAAACACAATAATCAGTCGATATCGTCATGGACTTGTGTTATCTATAAAATAACTTTTTCATCTATTAATTTTCAAATCTATTTAAGTTCTATTTTCGAAAATATTTGAGATAAATGAATCGATACTCGTATTACGGTTTTTTAGAAGGTGCTGAAGCAAAAATACTTATTTTATTAGTAACTAACTCAATGATAACTACTGATGTAACAATATCAATATCTTCATAATTATGAAAAGCCAAATAAATTCAATCAGGGAAGTTTCAATAACAATGTTGAAGATTTTTTTACATTTTAAGTAAACGAGAGTGTGATAAAAAGTATATTCCTATGTTGATCTTGTAATCGATTTGTTCTCGTATGATTCGAATGTCTTCAGTTGGACACAATCTATGACTTTCAAGTGTACCTTACGAGCATATACTCATAAAACATTGATATAATTTCTGATGATGATCTTATTTCAGCTACACTTCCAAGTTGAAGAATATACACTCGCAATACTTACTTCGTTCGACATGAATTTGAAAAGATATTGTATAAGGAGTACTTTGAACATATTCAGCATTAGTATTATCGGGTGATTGTAAGTGACCTAATTCTGGATTGTACCGTGGAGCTATTGTAGATGGAACAACGAAACGAATTGATTTTCCATCGATCAAATCCAATTCAGTTACATATCGTATCATAACTCGACATTCTTTACCCGGCGGTATAGCGCCAACATTGATCTAAATAGAAATCATTGTTAATTATAAGATTCATGTTCCATAATGAAATGTCACATCTTACAATAAATGTATCCAATGTTTCCGCACTCTGACGTAATAGAGTTGCTGTTTGACCATGTATAATTGCTTCATTATATTCAGCTTCAGCTACTTTTTTCCGTTTAATTTCGGCTATAATCAGACGATCATCAATTTCAGCTGTTAAAGCATAGACAGCAGCATTTTCCTTCAAATAAATTAAATTTTAATCCTAAGATTTCAAAAATCTTCGACAATCTATCACACCTAAAGTATAAGTTGAACATTTTAATGCTCTATCTAGCAAAGGAGTGTGCTTTTTTTTGTTGCTTTACGTCACGACAAATTGTAATGTCGACAAGAAATCCTTGTTACTATTTCGTATCATAAATCACTTTTCATTTATTTCAGATATAATTAATAATCTTGTTCGTCACTAAAGAATATAAGACACGGAAACCATGTTCATGTAGCTTAACGTCAAGGTAAACGAAAAACAAACTATACATTATGAATTTAATGCAATTTCTTCGAGACTAAAATCCGAGATATGGCGAAGTCATTTTAGTGATAGATGAGAAGCGTCACCCCATTGATTATAGTCCGTGACAGGGTCAACAGAACAGTATATCAATGTATCTGTCACTTCAACATTTATCAAGAACAAGAAATAACAGAGATATTGAGGGCAGTCCTATCCTAATGATGATCTCTGATAACTAAATACAGTTTTTTCTCAGAACATTCTTCACCTATATAAAAACAAATGCAGTGAAGTACCTCGATTGGAAAGACGTAAATAGCTTCGATTGGTTTATCTTCCAAATTGATAAATGTTTGTGTTAAAGTAATGTCAGCAGCAAATGTATGAATCCAAGCTTCAACAGCAACATTGTAAAGAGGTACAAATGTTTTTTCTTCAACATTGATTCGAAGGGTTGGAATATTCTCCAAATCTATGTTGTCATCTCGAGTTGATCGATGGATAGGTTCATCTGACCATACGAGATCATCGATTTCATCACTAAAATTCAACTATGATAATTAAATCTTGCATGATTTACTATAGGTATCAACTAAAATGTTTTCATCAGAGTCTATAATCGATTAAATATGTAAGTATGATGGAGCCGTACACGATGCATCTAACTACATATGTCTCAATTTTTTGACAGATTCGAAGAATAGAATATTTATATCTAATTTCAAGACACAAAGATAGCATGTCGATCTGTGAGGTTGGTTGGAGCAAAAGAAGAGTTATTTTTCCTCATAATATACTTCAATAATCTCCCACAATTTTATTTTCAAATACAATGAAGAAATCTCATCAAATTCATCACGGTCCATACTGAGTCCAAAACTTTGAATTTCAACAAGCCTTCTAGAACATCGCAGACTGTGACAGAAATGTTGATATGCGTTTTTTTTTTGAGTCACGGACTTTATATTTTAAGATATTTATCTTGTAAGATTAATTATGTGATCCAAAAATCTAAGATATCATGTTTCTCTGTCATATACCGGTACTATTATTTTTTGAAAAACTTGGATCATTTTTTCTATTATTAGGAAAAATCAAACGTATCAGAGAAAGTTCGGTTAATTTTTCTTGTTTCATCTTATTTGAGCAATAAAAATATTGGAATCAGCAATAATTAACATACGTTTTAGCAATAATTTGTGAGCAATACAAAAAACTTTATTGAGCAATTTCATATTATAGGAATAAATAAAAGAAAAACTGCATTATTTTTAGTTACAATCGAAAATAAACAAAAAAAAGAAATCAAAAATATAGTATATTATTAGGTCAATAAAGCCTTTTTTGCCTAGGTGGTCTGCCTCTGTTTCTTACGTATTTCTATAAATAAATGTGTTAAACCCGTAATATGATCTTGTGTATATAATGTCTATTTTCGAAAAATAAGATTCTCCCTGTTATCATACGCATGTGAACCTGTATATGAGAAGACAGAATATACCAGGAATAGATATGATACAAATAGAATATATTTGAATGATCACTTGAAAGAAAGAAATGAACAATCGAAGAGAAAGCAATATGGGAATGTATCTGATAGTAGGGAGCTGCCCCAGGTTTTCTGAACTCGACCAGAGAATTTTGGTGCATTCTATTTTTTTAGAATACTGAATTGTTGTTCGAATACACACCTGCGAAGCAATGTTTCCACTTTCATACAATGTGATTGTAACTGTACAAAAGACATTCAGAGTGGAAGGATTTTAAATAAAAAGGTTGGAGTTCATACTTGGACTCGGACGTTTTTTGTTTAAAAACCTTCTGCTTTGAATAATTGTTGTACAGTTCTAATTGCATAGTCTGAAAGAGTAAATATTAATCTACAAAATTTGTATTCAAATAACCATTCAATATTCGAGATGATAGAATGATTTCTTTAGTCGGATTCAGAAAAACCAGTAGAGCTCACCTGACAAAAGAGAAAGAGCATGAATGGTGTAGATACATATGTAGAGAAAGAAAGAGACCGAAAATATAATATATAGTATAACACAACTCTGTCTTATAGCACATCTTTGGAATATAGCATAACAAAATGAATCCATAGTGCCCCTTTTTATATAAATTCACCTTTAATTTAAGTAAATTATTGCTGATTCAATATAATTATTGCTGATTTAGTAAATTTATTGCTAAATTTCATTATTGTTCATTTCAATTATTTTATTGCTGAATTAAATATAAGTCTATTTCAAATATAAAACAGGACTTAGTTCAAAGAACGAAATTTTAATGAACATATACTAAAATGTTCGAATCTCCCAAAATTCCTAATTTATAACAATAACTTTTGCTATCTTTGAAAGCAGAATTTTCTTCATTAGTGACGGGAGCTGATGTGGAATTTTTTCTTTTGAATATTGCTGGAATCATAGAGCTTTTCATGGGCTATAAAACGACTAAGATGTTTCTTAATAGAAACAAAATTTGAATATGACCGAAACATGGGTTTTTTGTGTTCGAGATTTACCAACATTCACAAAGTTCAGTGCTATTTAGTCATTCTTTTTACATTATGACTCTATGTCAGATGTTCTCATGTCATTCTATGGAGGATTGAAGGAAGAATATTTTGAGGCTAAGCAGAAACATTTACAATGAAAGTTAATCGACAAAAAACCCGAATTACAAATGATGTCAAGTGTCTGAAAATCTAGAGAAAGCTTTCGATTTTGTCCGTTTCTGTTTTGTTCGCAATAAACTAGAAAGAAGATTGCTAATTATCTTTATCTTAAGTTTGCTCTTTGATGTCTCACTTGCTTTCTACTTTTCATTCATCTGTAGAGGGTGCGTGCATTAAAAAAAAGGGTGAAAGATTTTTACAAATTATTCTGAATGGTTTACCTCATCGGACGATTTAGATTTTCATTGGATGCCGTTTGTGCATTGAGAATAAACTCGAAATCGTCAATATTAGACAAATCTTGTTCATTTTCCAAATTTTTGCCTTCGTCATTATCACAGTCGTTTGAGATTATGATCTGTTCCACTTGTGTATTTATTTTTGACAAAGTCAAGAAAAGTAAAAGAATAACGTGGAGGAAAATAGCACTTTTCATTTTATATAAAAATACTATCAATATGAAATGCAAGTATATACAGGTGTGTATATATATAAATATATATAGGTGTATTTATCGCCATCTATCTGAGTAAGAATAATTAATAAGATGGTTTATTTAGTTTCTGTTCATAGCAGGCACCAATGAAATATAGACACGACAAGTTGAGTAGAACGCAAAAAAATAATAAAAATAAGTGACTGCAGCAGTCTTCAACCGTGACTCACACAAACCTGTGTCAATACGTCAAAAATTTACCTATATAGAGAAGCTCTTGGCAAGATCGTCAGATGGCACAAGTTTTAACCGAATCTTTTTGTTGCAGAAAAAATAGAGATCATAAATATTCGCAGGGCAAATACTTCAACTTTATGTTTTGTTCGAATTCTACTTGAGAACTATTCAGTCTAGTTTATATTCATTTGTTTCCTACTATCGAATGAATCGTCGGATGACTTTGTTTTCTTTCAATGAACAAGAATTGTCTCTATGAATCATTCCATCGAATTCAAAAAAGTTCCTACACGCTGCTGATTATCATTTATGCAAGCAAGATGAATAGGATATCCTAGAAGGATACTACAATGAGTGTGAATGTAGAAACGAGTGAATCGAAGATCCACCTACACCCTTTTAACGATGTTGTTCGAATGATGATCATCTTGAATATATAGTTGACTCGTCCCATGATATAATAAATGAATTTCGAATTTGTATAAAATGGTCTTTGTATTGTTCTTTATATTAGTTAAATACAAGTTATATTCTTACATGTATGGATAAAATCTGTCGAAATAAATAGAACTGAAGAGAAATCAAAATGAAAAAAAAACGAACCGAATAGATAATGAATTGAAAGATGAATGAGTTAGGACAAATAATAATCTCAAAATAAGTTTATCATTTAATCTTATTATGAATTGTTTTTTTTTTATAACTGAATTATTCATAATTGGAAGAGTTTATTGTGAAATCCTACTCAAACTCATATTCGTAATAATTTTCAATTTTCTTTTTTTCAATAAGAAATTTTATTCATACTTATAAGCATGTATAGACTGACTGATGTTGATATTTATTTGATTTGCTGAGTCATTCGTAATTGTTATAAACAATAGATGATAAACTATAGTTGGAAAAAAAAACAAATAATTATAAAGTAAAAGAAAAGAATTCTATTGGTCAAGTTGAAATAATACAGTGGATATAAAAAATATCATTCAATACTATTGTCGGTTTTTTTTTAAATGCCAATCATCATTACATAGAGCAACGTGGGAGGCGGGGTCTATCTGTATAAAATTCATTAAGTTCGAAGAAGTTTTTCAAGGATACTTGCAGCTGAACATTTTTTTTTTTGTTGTCCATTTCTACAACTTTTCGAAGCAAGCTATGCTCGAATTACACCAAAATGTAGCTCGAAGAGTGTTGTATTTCCTGTATAATTGTTCGATTTGTTCATTCTCATCTTGAACTCATGCTTCAAGAGAAGTGTTCTGAAATCTGGAAATTTTATGAATAATACGACTCTCTTTGAGCTGCATTTTGATGTAATTTGAACCTAGATTGCTACACAAAGTTGTTGAAATAGACAACAAAAAAAAAATGTTCAACTACAAATATCCTTGAAAAACTTCAAACTTAATGAATGTTACACAGATAGACGTCTCTCCCCCTCCCCCCCCCCCCCCCCCCATATTGCTCTAACCAATGGTGAAAACCTGACGTCGACAGCTATAAACGATCAGAAGTTATTCAAAAACTGATGGTTGACATTTTAAAAAAATTTGACAGTAATTTGTTGTGATTTAATGTATTTGACAGAGAATAATCTAATTTTTCCAAAGCGTAATGTATAAATAATTAATTAGTTACTATTATTAAGCGATGATTTTAAAAGACCTGTACCATCAATTTTAGAGGACTAGAGATTAAGAGAATTTCGTTATTGAGTTTACGCTTTATCAACCTTTATAAAGCGTTACTGGATAATGAATGTTCTATTCCGAAAAATTAAATATATTTTGATCATTTCAAAATCAATCATATAAAATTTTAATCTTTCTTTTAAAAAGATCAATTACGGAATAATTACTTATCCTTAGTATATAAACGATGTTCAATTTTTCAATGCTATAAGATTACTCGATCGACATTTTTACATTTAAAATTTCTTATTTCATATATCATAGAAATGTAGATTAATAGTGCATAAATATTATTTTCCACTAGAATATTTTCATATTTTTCTACTAGAATTACAATAACACTTTTTGATGTTAGTTCTAAAGACTATAGTGATAGTCAAATTTCTATAGCACGAGATATTTCAGTATTTGGTTCAGCAAGATAAAGATTTCTTAAGTATTAAAAAAAATATCATAAGAATTTCTTTAATGTTTAGCTTCAATTAAGTAAAGCTCAACTATTTTTTGTAGTAGATCTATGTCTTTATAATGAAAAATGAACATATTTTACTCACTGATATTATCTGTACGATCGATAAAATGATATTTCTTTTTAACATTTGTGGTATATCCCGCAATTCCAATAATAACTTCGTTAAATAAGAATATAATCACTAAAGTAAACAATTTGACTACACAAATGGTTTCAACAGATATCATTGCTAATCACACGATAGGATGGTTCTGTTGTTCTTCTTTTATTTGTGCGTTCCTTTTGTATTATAAATATATAACTTTTTTTTATTATATAGAACAACTATACTATCAAAACATTTACTTCCCATTGGTCATTGCAATGATCATCTGTGGAACAATGGCAGACCATTAACGAAGCATGGGAATCGAAAAAGGTACGAAAATTTTTTGTAGGAAGCTGCATGGACTATCGATTGACAAAAGGAATCTTTTTTCATCATTCTGTCTTTGAAATATCTAAACTACAAAATGGATAATCTAGAAAAAAACTAAATAATATTCGAATTTTTCGAAACGAACTGTTCTCTACTTACAGTCAATAGAGATCTATCCGATTTTCTCTGTGGTATAAGTGGATGCACAAGTCCAATAGTCAGTTAGATATGGAGTATGGGTGTGGATGAAATAAATATCCACATCCGTTTTCAAATATTAAAATAAGAGAAAAAATCGATCTTGGATTTCACTTCTCCATACTTATTTACCTTTTGTCAACTTCTACAACAGAAATCTGACTATGCTTGCCTGTCCCACATACAACGTTCTCTAATAATAATTTTTCATTGGACTAGAGCATATTACATATTGGTTGGCTTAATCAAATACACTTTTGAAAGATATTTTCAGCTATATAATCCTTTCATTCAGAAAAGAAAATCAATAATCTCAGTAAATGCTTCAAAGTTATTCTACACAATATTTCCAGGAGAAAATTTTATCATGAATTAAGATGTTAAAATGATAAATTTATCTCTATTAAGATCAAATCAAAGTTAATGTTAATTTTAGCTCATAATAATGGTAATGATAGTATTCATGGCGAAAATTCAATGATGCACAACCTTTTCGTTATTTGCCTTTCAACGTGTTTTTCTTCCGACTTACACATGTCTATTTTTTGTACATAGTAAACAAGATTGATATTCTTGATTAATGACACACAACGTCAATCGGCTTCAACTTACCTTGACGTCATTCGAAAACATAATTTTCGTTATCTTAAGTATCTTTCGTATGATGAAACAACAAAATTGTAGTTACTCAAAATCGACGAAAAATATTCATGTTAACTGAAATCTAATAATTCGAGGAAGAACAGAGTTAATAGTGAAGATTTTGGTTCACAACACTGCCAATATTACTATCAATCATATGATTGTCAATTCAGTCTTCGTCTTTCATCTCTCTTCACTGACAAAAAAAAAACAAACATTTCTTTTGAAAAATATTCTTATTATTTGAATTCTTTTATTCTTGCATAAAATAAAGAAAAATTATAGAAGGTAGTATCCATTTATATGTCTATCGTTGAATGAGTAATGGCTCAAGAGATAGTACATGTATTGAGCAGTTCACGCACTGCTTGCTGTTGTCGTTGACGTTCATAAATAGCTGTCAATTGAGCGATCGGTTGTGTATAATATTGATACAACCATCGTGGTTTATAAGCCATAATTTTCTTCACTCGTCGAGTTCGACCAGCAACGGCGATGGAATTGAGTACCAGAAGACTTCGTTGTACTTCACCTAAATCGTACATTCGATTAAGTGATTTACCACACATTTTACCATCTCGATCTTCAAACATTATTTTACCAATTAAATCATCAGGATCAAGAGCAACACAGGTGATATATAAGAGACGAACTTCAATACCAGTTAAATCATCATAATTTCTGAAGTCACGAAGACGATTGAGATTGGATTCATCATATTCGATCAATGTACATACACAATCCAAGTAGTACATCAGTTTCGCTATGTTATTATCAGGCACCTGAACTAGTCCACTTGCGCGGGAAACATCATATGAATTCAACTGAAATAAGGCCATCGTTTTCACAATAGTAACTGATTTGGTTTTGATTTGATATTGCTTATCATCGCTTTTTATTTATACCAAGTAGAAGTGATTTATCTTGGAATTTCCCAAGTAAAAAGTAAATAGAGAGACACGCTCCATTGGTTTTTGTTTCATTATGATCCAATGATATTCAGTGAGTCAGTTACTATTTTTATTACTGAAAGCGTAAACAAGATCTACCTGGTAAATAATTGCGTATTTTTTTCCAATTTTCCAACTTCCTAGGAAGAGTAATACTCAAAAGTTGAGAAGAGTTGAAGTATTAGTAAAGATTCAACATAGTGTTATAAGAATAATGAATGTAGGAGAATCATGATATTATTTCGTGTATCAAGATTACACTATGAAACAGCATGAAAACTTCCAGTTAGATTAAAAACTGCACCCGCATACGATGATGTTTATCAAATTGGGATTGAGATGAAAATGTCGATTTTATATCGTCATTATTTCCAAAGAAACCTATTGAATTGAAAGCTGGTATTGATAAGTTTAAAGTGCAGTGTATGATTTATAAACTTCTAACAAAAATCAGCGTGAGATATTTAGAAACAGTCCAGAACATAGATCGTCTTAGGGAGTTCAAATGACTAAATTAACGGGATACGTAATCCTGCATGTGCAATTCTATTATGCAAGAAAGTGTCAATACATGAAAGCATATATAGTCTCATTATTGACGAGAACATGTGATTCAGATATGATATATGAGAATGGATGAACAGAACACGCACCTACATCCTTTTAACGATGTCGCTCGGCTTATGATCATGTTGGATACCTAATTGATTCGTTCCATAATATAATAAATGAACTTTGAATTTGTTTCATCTGTAGCAGATAGTTGGATCAATATTAATCGCCTCTGCGGATCTTTTCGTGTTAGTTAAATACAAGTTATATTCTTACATGTATAGATAAAATCCATCGACACAGATCGAACTGAAGAGAAATCAAAATTAAACAAAGAACTGAATGGATAATGGACTAGAACAAATAATGATCTCAAAATAAGTTTATCATTTAATCTTATTATGAATTGTTTGTTTTTTTTATTACTGAATTATTCATAATTGTAAGAGTTTATTGTGAAATTCTATTCAAACGCATATTCATGCCATTTTTTGTATTTTTCTATTTCATTAAAAATTTTTATTAATAACTATAAGCATGTATAAACTGATTGATATTGATATTTATTCTACCCGCTGAGTCATTCGTAATTGTTATAAAAAATAGGTGACAAACTATAGTTCGATAAAAAACAGCAAATAATTATTAAGCAAAAGAAAAGAATTCTATTTGTCAAGTTGAAATAACAGAGATAACACGAACATATTATTGAATATTAATCACACATTTGAATCAGTGTCAATAAATCCTTTGCAATAAACACGAAGAATTGAAAGATATTGAATTAAATGTTGTGTAATAATGTACTTATTCGAAATATTTGATATTTTTTAATCTGATTATGTTTGTCGTTGGTCTCTAAACAAACTTTTCTTGTTACATATGACTACTTATGAAAATAATTGATAGAGAAGATAATAACAAGATATTCTGAAAGCTGCTACCTGCCAATGTATTTAAAAATGTATTTTGTTTAAAATGTATAATATTATTTAAAAGAAAATATTTTATGAAGAACATACTATAAAATTAATTTCTCTCAATAGTTTTTCGTAAGTAGATAAAGAAAATGATTAATATTTAATGTTTAGCAAAATAGATAAATATTCTTTTTTATTAGAAGAAATATTTAAGATATTACATTAAGACAATTATTTCTCACTGCAGAAGAGAACAAAAAGATTTCAAACAATATTTTAGATTTAATTTGAAGTCTACTAGAAATCATTTATTATCGGTAATGAATATTGTCAGTATTAAAATGTCATTAAAATAAGATAATTTTCCGAAAAAATTATATACACAACATTGATTAGGTTTTACTATTATTAATTGATCATTTTGAAAAACATGCGTCATCATTTTTAGACGGTTAGAGAATAAAAAGAATTTCATTCTTAAGTTAAGTATTCTCTAGAAAAAATAAAGCCTTTTCAATCTTCAATAAAGTTCTACTAGATAACATGTTCTATTCCACAACTAGTTATAAATATATATTTTGACGGTTTTCAAATCGATCGTATAAATGTTAATCTTTTTTTCAAAAAAAGATCATGTGCCGGATAATTATTCACGACTAGTGTATAAATGATGTTCAACGTTGTAGTTTTCTATAACGTTTAGAGGTTATATGATTGACATTTTGACAAATTAAATTTGTTATATCATATGTCATAGAAATGTAGATTAGTGCTGCATGAATATTAGACATTTTTAATACATTACAACAGTATTCAATTAATACTATTTTTTACATTAGTTATGAAGATTAAAATGACAGATAAATTCCATAGTATCAAGCATTTTAGCAATAATTCGATAACATAAAGATTTTCGAAGTATTAGAGAACATGAAAAAAGTTACTTTAATATTTAGTTTTGACTAAGTTAAGATAAACTTTTTCTACCATTTCTTCTATTGAATTTATATCATTGTGATTAGAAAGTTGACTACATGGATGACTTTGACAAGTTTCAGAGTTAACTACACAAGAGGACGATTCAGTAGTTCTACTGTCCTATCTAGAGATGTGAGGAACCAAGTTTCTTTTAGTTCTGATTCTGATAATTTTTTTCATGATGTCCGGTTCTATCCTGATGATTTTAGTTATTTGAATATTTCCTACTCTTATACATATTCATTTCGATATTTGTGTTATTTTTCTTTGCAACATTTCATTATCAATGAACTTAGGCGAATCATCGACTTCCGATCTTGATCTCAGCTTAGAGAAAACTATTTTAGAAATTCTTCATTATCAAATTTAAAGCACTTCTAAAATACCGTATTGCCGATGGGTATCATTTTTATTGATCTGCTCTCCTAAATTTTGTTTTCAATTTTATGATATTTAAGGTAATTCGTTCAATATCATAGGATATTTTAGTTTGGATAGGATAACTTCTTTTTTTGTAATCCCGATTCCGATAACTTTTTTTCTTCGTGGTTCTGGTCTCAGTAAAGTTTCAGTTTTCTTGGTCACGATGATCGAAACTGAAACTGTTTCTGCACATCTCTACCTCTATCCTATATTCTTCTCTGCTTTATATATATTTTGTACTACCATGCATAATACGTATACTATCAAAACATTTTACTTATGGTTCTCCTTCTTTTTATTATTAAAAATAACTACAGTAATACGTGGTATTCAACACATGGGACAAGTACGTATAAGTCATTGACATTAAGATAAGAGAAAAATGCACATTTAGATCTATCAAATGACGTGCAGGATATTCCTTAATCTGTATAAAAGTATATATGTTGTTCTTTTTCGTTTCAAGTGGTGTCAACGCACCGATATCATAGATGTATGGATTTGGAAAAATTTAGATGCACAGATACGATAAACTGCTTATAAATAAAATTTCTTCATTTTTGTAAGCTATGTAAGTGCAAATTGTAGAGTATCTAATTATCTCAAAATTAACTTTATTATTGAAAGTTAACGTTCTACAAACGAACAAGAGAAAGATGTAGTTTCTTTCTTCCAGTTTTACTCTATCAATCAGATTATGTCCTTATCAAATTTACGAAATTAGCTTTACAGATTTTTGTAGACGAAATGATGCTCTACGTATTGGATTTAATTTTCTTATAAATTGACATCGGACTACAATTTAACATTCAATTTGATCTTCAATGTCTATTGTTTTTTTTATTCCTGGAGTACATTTCTGATTTCTGTAGTGATTAGTCGATTTATTTCCCTATGCTTGCTATATTAAGAAAACTGACTTGACCATCAGTGGAATCTTGTGGATTTATAATGAAGAAGAGAAAGAAAGAAGCCTCAGGTTCTATCAAAGATTCTTGTCTAGAGAATTCGTTTATATCCAATGAATGAAATGCGTTTAATGGAAAATAAATATACAATTCTTTTCAAATGCATTGAATTCGTAAAAATATAGTATGCCATTTTATTATGATTCAGAAAATATTCGTTCATATTTTCATCACTATTTCTTGAAGGTGCGGATGATAATTACGTTTATATTATAAGTTCTTGTCAACTTCACTAAGCTCGACTTCTTTTGTCTCACATTGGGTAAGTTCATCAGTATTATTCTTCTCCGGTCCGAGTAAAATTATGATTAGGAGATAGCAATATGTACTGGCTAAGAAGATAGACATGACTTTACCATAGTCGTACTGGTACTTATTAGTAGCATGATTAGATGTTTGCAACGGAAAATGTTGTCCAGCAGTAGCTTCGATAGTTGACGAGGCTGATGAAATGAGATTGCCTAATTGATAAGAGGTGCCGACTACGAATGAGCGAAACTGTAGTGGTGAGAGTTCCATAAGATGAATGGGCACGACACCCCAAGCACCTTGCACACACATTTGCTGGAAGAATGCGCCAGCCATAATGGACATATTTCGTGGAAGTAAATAGGCTGGAATGAGAGCAGCGCCAATGATAAGAACAACGATGATTGATAATCGTCGACCGAAGAAACTTGAAAAATATCCCATCAATGTGCCACCAACGAGAGCACCACAGTTAGCCACAACTGTGGTGACAGTGACGAGACTGTGCGAGAACATAAGCTGAGAAGCGAGGAAGGTCGGATACAAATCTTGACTACCATGTGATAAAAAGTTGAATCCAGCCATCATTAATACAAGATAGATGAAAATTGGCCAGTGTTGAGCGAGTGCAGGACGAATAGCACTGAGGAATGCGCGTACTGCAGATACTTGATGATCAGCTAAAATAAAGAGTTTGAAAACATGATCGAAATTTTTTGAATTCAAGCTAAATTTACCTGCAAATGCGTTCGTTTTGCGCGCCTCTTTGACACAGAGAAATGCTCGTGTCTCGGGCAAGAAGATGCGCCAAAGCGCAACAAGCAATGGAGGACAGCCTCCGAACCAAAAAAGTGCTCGCCATCTATACCGTTGATTATTCGTAATTGCAAGATTCAAAGCAGCAGCAAGTAGATAGCCAAGTGCATAGCCTTGTTGCAACAAGCCTGATAGAAGACCACGTGCAGCGATCGGAGCATCTTCAAGCGCTGTAGCAGCACAATTACCATAGATACCGCCCATGGCAATTCCGAAAAGAGCACGAACACCGATAAATTGTGCGTATGTACTACAGAACCCTGTACAAATTTCGACTATAGCATAAAAAACAATATTTACAATGAATGGCCATTTACGTCCAAATCGATCGCCAACAATTCCAAAAATAATGGCACCCACAGAACGAAGCATTAGTGTTACTGTAATACCCCAAGTAATGTCTGATGGTAATTTATTATATGTAGTTGCAATTTCGATGATATTGAGAGTAACAGTGAAGAAATCAAAAGCATCAAATGTCCATGCAAGAAGAGCGACAATAAAGAAGGCTATCTGTTGACGATTGAGCATACCAAGAAGAGTAATGGGATTTTCTGGTAAGATCAAAGGAGGCATAAGACTTGTAAATCGAGTAATAAGATATTTCAAAATAAGCATAGTTTTTAAAACAAATTATACACTGAAGCTATTTTTGAGTAGATGTGATTTGATGTAAAGGTGATGTCTATAAAGAATATCAAGTTTGTTTTCTTTCGAGCGATGTGTAAACTAACTCAAGCATGTATATCTGTCCATTACATCTTCCCATTTTGTTTCATTTAAGTGAAAAAAATATCAAACTAGGAATATCATTTTCCAGTAAATTACCAATTAATTTTAGTTTAAAAATAAGCATAAATTATCATGATTTATGTTTGTTCTAAATATAAATAATACAAAATTTAAGGAGATCCTGTCAGAAAACTCAATTTTTTGAAAAAATATCAAAGTTGAATTTTTATAATAGGAACATGAAGCGAAGCTTCTTCCTCTTTCAGAATATATATGACTTATTGCAAAATGATCAGACTTATAACAAGAAATTTCGACTCTACTATTGTATATTCGGAGAAATTTTTGTGGTTTGTTAAAGTTTTTCTGTTTTGGAAAAACTGCGTTGTCATTTGCATTAACATTGAATAGAACATTTTTATATCAATCAGCATGATAGATGGCGTTATTTATCCTCAGTCCACTGAAATGTATAAAAAATATGCGATTGTAATATGATTTTTTTCTGGATTTGAATGAAAAAAATCTATTTCTAAAACTTCTTTAGCGTTTTTTTCAAAACATGGCTTTTCCCAGCAGGAAAATTGAAATAACTCCCATCCAGTCCAAGATATAATCAATATTTCTTTTTTTTGTTTGTTTAAAAGGTCTCAATGAGAGTAAACTGTTGTCTGACCAGTTATTTTATATTGGATTCGTAGCCTGAGAAAAGTGGAATTCAGTGTCGTGACGGTCAACTTTTTTTCTATGCTTATTTTGAACACTATGTCTATTAAAATGCTCATAAAAAATGAATGGAAGAGAATTTCAAAATTCTATTCGGATAAAAGTTGTGCACAGAGGTTAACTTTAATTTGAAACAAGATCGAGCTCTGTACCTCTTATAGTGACGAAGTTATAACGATTCTTCTGAATGCTACATAAACAAGCTGAAAGTATGACATATCGGGCTAAAATTTTTACCACCAGCGTTTCTCACTAGGATCACTCATCTCTGTAAATTTCAGTCCAAACGGTCCGTTCTAAGTTGTAAATCAATTCTCAGGGAGTCCCTTAATTTATTTTAAATTAACAGAAAAATGACACCCCTATCTACCCATGACATCTTCCCATTTTGTTTCATTTAAGTGAGAAAATTATCAAAATAGTATCTTCGTCTTTTTATGAGTACTTGTTTGATTTATTACTTCGTTCTCTCTTTCGATCTATATACAAAGAATGTGATACAAGAATAAGAATATGTTGAACTTGTACAAGCGCAGCAAAATGATCGGAGCTCTTCAATGATATGTTCAGAATTCATTTAACACTCCATGATATCATACCAGTGTCCTGTCAACGATTGGGTAGCTATGAATAATTCACTTTCACCTTGGGCAATTAATACTTAAATGTGTCTTGTTTGCCTAATGTGCTTGACTAATTAGAATTTCATCATTGCTACCCTCTCCTTGTTGTTTTGAAAAACAACTCATAGCTATTGGCGATCGTAAAAAATGAATTGATTTACTCTAGAATTTGATGTATTTTTCTGGACTATGAGAAAATAAGAGAACAACTTAAAGGAATGATTTCTGCAAGATTGTGCATTTTTCAAAATGAAAGCGGCAACGAAAACTGTATAGATATGTCAGGCTTAGTTAACTGCAGGAACAAAAGCAGATAAAATTTTCCACTAGCCCAAGTACTCAGTCACACCTAGACATTGACTTGACACTTTGAAAATTTATCACTCACAGGCTTTGATAAGACTCCATTTCTATCTTAGAAAATCGATGTTTTTCCGAACTGTTCAAAATTTCTTTTTTCAAATTGTCTGAGAAACCAGAATGTCTACTTTCAGAATATATGTCCATTTTTCTAGTCAGTCAATTTCGTCACCTAGTTATTGACAATATTCTGGAAGCTCCACTATCGTGCAAATGACATTTGGTGAATGATGAAATGTTGCTCCCGTAGTTACGATGAACCGCTCCATGAGTTTGATTACGATCAAACTGCGATGCAGTTGCTAAAATAGACGGGTGTGGATGTGGGTATGAGAAGAAGATCGACACTCACACCCACGCCCACACCCATACCCACACCCCTCCTTTATTCAACCATGAATATTTTTATTAATATTCTGCTTTTCAATTAAGATCAATCTTAAACACGATGCCTTTCTATTTGCATGTATATTTTAAATTACTATGATTGAACCTAGGATGATCCTTGTCCATCACTCAATGAATATGACAATCTCAGAACTAATAACTCAAGTGGTATGTTGACCAAATCTCGAAAGACAAAATCTCGAAAAAAAACCCTGAAGAGAATAATCTCGAAAAAGTGAAATATTGAAAGCAAAAAATCTTGAAAGAGTGAAATATCGAAAGAAAATTTTCGAAAGGGTAAAAAATCGAAGAAAAAAGTTTTGAATAGCTACTAATGTATGATATGATTATAATTATCAGATAGCATGTATATTCAATTGAAATTTTATTTTAAAAGCTGATGACAATGAATCAATAAAGTAAACAAATCGCATGAAGAATAACAAGAAATCACTTCGCCCCGACCAACAAAGAGTTCTTCGAGAAAATCATCGAAAGTTATTTTATTCTGATTAAAATTCAGGTGTGGGTGTGGAGTCTGGTTGTGGGTATGGATGTGGGTGTAGGCCTTCTCTCCTCTCACACCCACCCACACCCACACCCTTCTACATTTTTCTTTGGAAATTTTATTTTTTTCGGGATTTTATTTTTCGACATTTATTTTTTTGATATATATTTTTTGACATTTTATCCTTTCGGGATTTTGTTTTTCGAGATTTTTGCTTTCGAGATTTTTTATTTCGAGATTTGAACAGTAATTTACTCAGGTCATTAGATATATAGGATTTTAACGACATATTTAAACAAGATTGCACAAATTGGAAATAGATTTTCAATAAGAAATAATTCTATTTGCAGTTCTTAAACTTCTATTGACTTCTTTTGCTGAATTATATAAACATGCTTCTTCTTCCTTATGATTTTGACATGGTTACTATATATTAAATAAGAATGAATCATCATTTTTTACTTGCTTACCTTTTTTATATTCGATAGAATCGAAAATTAAACCTCCTTCGAAGGCATATATTCTATGCAAATATTTCTCATCATATATTTTAAAAAAAACTAATTTTTAGATGTACATATGCAAAACTTCGATCATAATTGGAAGGAACCTATAAACAAAGGGTTATGTTTCATGAAGAGATTAAGTCAACATCTCCTCTCAAATGACAATATTATTTGTGTATTGTGATCATTAAATAATTTATATTGCTTCCTTTTCAGTAGCTAAATATGAAAATTTCTCAATATAAATAGACGTGTTTGATTTCCAAGAGACAAAATATCGATTTAAAAATAGTTATATACTCCGAGTTATAGATTAATTGTTTGTTTTCTCATATATTAGTCCATGAGACAGTTGCAGATTGACAGGCTGTTCTGCGTCACTCTATAGATCAATGGTTTTTTTTGTTCCCAATTATAAATTATCAATCAAATCATTTTTATTTCTATTGTCACTGAGAATCATTATGATTGTAATTAGATAACTTTAATAGTCGAATTCATCGATTGTATGTAAAAAAACAAAAACGACTAAATTGGGTCACTTCCTGAAGTGTGGGTGTGGGTGTGGATGTCATGGTGTACATATAACTTTTCCTCACAATAGTGCCCACACCCACAGGCACACCTGACATCTACACTCACATCCAAAACAGTATTCATAGCCAATTTCAACTGAAGCACTTCACCTGAATAGAGAAAAGGAACTATGACATTTTCATGTATTAGAACACTTTTGCGTCGAAAAAAAGGTACTTGTGTTAATACACAGAAAAAAAGGAAATGAATATTAGTATAAAAGCTTGCGCATTTTTTTCATTTTCACATAGTTCTGTCGGTTGAAAATTATAAGCAAACAAATAAGTAAGCATACAAGCAGACGAGATGAACACAGGGCGATTTCTTTTCACTACTCTGCTCGTCCTCTCGCTGACACTCAGCATGATGCTATCGGTTGTTGAAGCCTGTCCAAATAGAATTTACTCTTGCATCAATGGTAACGGCAAGACAACGGCTCAATTTTGTGGTGGTTCTTGCGCACAGGGATTTTTGAACTTGGGCTGCGGTTTGTGCCACGATCGAAGCGCATACATTCAACATTGTAAAACACGCAAGCCATCGACGGTGAACATTGCTCGGACTGACACTGGATGCCCTGACAACAATTGGGTCTTCCGATGGGCATCCACCGATGACGACTAAGTTCCAGTCTACTCGACAGATGTCCAAACAAGACGACTCAAACAAACTTTTGTGTGCGTTTCCTCCTTTTACGATTGCTATCTACTCGTGAATAAAAATAAACCATGATCACATTATACTTACACGTTTATATGTAGTTTCACGTACTGTTTCAGTTTATTTTATGTTCAGGAAGAGCTGTTCAAGAAGAGAAGACCCACTTTAAAGGTGCGCCTCCGAGCTCATAACAGAATGCTCTCCATAGTGTAAAGTTTTCACCTTTATCCGATATTTTTCTATCAAAAGAAGTCAAAGCTCGAAGCCTTCAATTTTTAAACATCAAAAAGTATACCTTGGATGACACTTAGACTCCCTTTTATATGAGATGTGTTTCAAATATTGCATCAAACCTTCTGTTAACTGACGTCTCTGCAGTTAGCATCCGATTCGAGTAATTCCTGCATGGATTCGCCTAGGAAACGTTTCAGATCGTTCAAGTGGTGTTCCAAGTGGAACTCAATGTGCTCTATCAAATGATGAAATCAAATTTATGATATCACAAACTATTCGTGCAAAAACACAAAAAAAATACTGATT